AATGTTTGTATATCTAGTGAGGGAAAAAGAGAATTCTAGATAAATCTAATACCGTAAATTAGATGTACCATAGCCTTGTGGTGAGATTTTAATACCATATTTTGGTGTCAGGAAGTTGTTTTCTTTAAAAAATCGGCACATAAGATTAACGATAATTAGATTTTAAAAAGTTTAGCTAGAGCATTAAATGTAATGTACGACAGAAGTACGATTTTACATAAGAGTTAGAATGTTTTTCATAAAAATGCGGAACAGCCAATAGTCGTAAATGAGAAGAAGATTTTTTGTTTTATTTATTAGAAGAGGGATTTCAAACAGTTATTTGTGTTAATAGATTTTCATATAAAAATTGGAACATTTTTGGCGACGATTTGTAAAAAAATTCAAGTAATTTAGGTTGATTTTTTTTTAAAAACCAAATCCGGATCATTCTTTACATATATAAAAATAACTTCTGTTATGTTTCAGCAAGAAAGTGCTATGTAAAATAAGTCTAACAAGTGTTTTTCAATAATCGTTTCTAGTAAATTACTTTCTTATTTTAAAATCCTGAACAACCTATTGTCGATACTTTTTGAAAAAAAGTCATTTGATATTAATTTGTTTTAAGTTGAAAATACGGAACAATTGAATATGATAGTTAAACTATAGTGACTTATTGTCCAAGAATATAAGGGTTAGGTCAATGTTAGTATTTCAAATAATCGTTTGACATAATTTTGTTTTATAAAACAATATCCTGAACAAATTATAGTTCTTCATAGTTCATAGCACGGAAATTACATCTATTATAGATACCTAAAACTATTACAATGTTTTGGAAGGAACATTAAAGGTTAAAACAGATTTTCTCTCTCAGCGTTTAGTGTTGATGTTTTTTACATGACGGACAGACCGACTAACAGACAAAACGCACAAAAATAAGAGGCCTGTATCTTGTTGGGAGGCACTAAACAAAAAAAAATATATTTTGATTATTTAAACATTTTTAAAGGAATTAACGGTAGTGCGATTGTGCCGCGGCGTAACGCCACTGGACGAAAGTGGCTGCATAAAAAGTCCATTAAAAAAGTGCGTGATATTTACATACAAAGTGCATTCTTAGCGTTTATAAACAAATTTTTTTTTCTTTCAATTTTGCAGCTAATTGACCAGAAAAAGCACCTTTAACTAATATTTATATTTGTTGAGAACATTTTTTGTACATTTTATAAATATATTTGACTTCATGATACTGATGTTAACATATTGTTACATTGCCTCCCTTACATTTACGTAATTGTTTTAGAATTGGTGTATTTTTATGAAAAATCCCTTGCATAGTTAATTTTATAACTAAACGGTTTGCTTTTAGAAAACCAATAGTAGCCGTTGCACCTAAGCTTTTCAAGCCGCATTGCATGGTGAAATAATATTTTTCATCTCTTCTAGCTTTCGAGATCAGAGTGTGACAGACAGACGGACGGACATTTTGCACAAACCTAATGGCGGCTTTTCCCCTTACGGGGGCCGCTAATACATCAATTATCTTTCCATTAAACAAAACAAGTTCATCAATAGTAATTCATATGAAATACTTAAGCTAATAGTTTAACTAAACTAATCTTCATGATCTGTTCCACTTGTCCAGTTCCTTCCCTTGACGTCAGATTACAATATACTGTTTATTGTTTGTAAATATAAAGCTTAAGATATGACTGTCACGTGTTTATTATGTTCATTTGATTTGCAGATCTTGATGCTATAAACTTGTGACATATGTGGGTTCGGAGGTGCCTTGATTATTGTTCAAACACTTTAATAATCAATGAAGTAACAAAGTGCTGATATGTTTTCTTGAGTTTTAATTATTTAAAACTTGAACTTGAAACAATAAATGTATGTACAAAGATATATAAAACAGATACAAGATTCAGTGAAAATGATCAATAAAATGAGTAAATATTTACTTTAAACTAGCGACTTCTAAGTCTAGCTTTCTAGCTCTCTCTCTCGTCTCAAGCTAACACTCCGCCTTTTATATCTTTCTTTAGAATAAAGAACCGTGACAATTCAATACCCATCCTTGACTACTTGACCCGTTTACATTTAATTTTCCTTTTAATTGTTTTTGTAATTTAACCTACAATAATTATGTTTCCCTGCTGTAGCCTTGAACTAAGTTTTCATCGGCGTCTTTCTGGCATTTAAGCGTGGGTACGCTGATCTGATTTGACATAGGTACAATGTCCTCATTTTGTAAAGAATGAGGTGTTACTAGGGACGTGACAATGACCTCCGATGCTTCTCAATTATTGATAAGACAATGTTTCTTGCAAAATATAATTATAAGATGAACAGTTCAGTCAATGTAATTAAGAAATAATATTAGTAACTTCATGGACACGATGGTCATAGTTGAACAAACATACTGGATTGATGAGACATGCTTTGTCTGAAAACGTTGCAATACCAGGTGTGCTTCTGACAGAGACAATCTTATGAGCTCAAACTGTCAGCCTTGACATTGGGTCAGCCCAAACATTGTCAACGTTAGCTGGGTATGATTCTTGCTAGACGTCAATGTCTGACTTTCCGTGTTGGATGAGTGCTACACATGAGTAGGTTGTAGCCAAGTCAATTTTGAAGTCTGGTGTAATAGCTACGCTAATAGCTCGCATTAGCATTAGCGAGTAGACATGTAGAGCAACTATACCAACACTAAATTCCTATGTGACATAGTTTCCTACTGAGGAACCGAACTGAATGTAGTGCAGTATGTTTCCCAGACACTCTAGAGACTGAAACAGCCGTGTCCGAAGCATTTGCTGTAAATAGAAAGGTTTAATCGGATCAGGCATATTAAACATGGGGTGAGGAGTCAAGCATGTTTGCACACGCTCCAGTGCAACTTCCACCTCTATAATCTTAAACACACCTCGGCTCTTGACATGCTGACCAAATAGACCTACTACAAGAGGTCTCACTTATCATGAAGATAGTATTACGATAAATTTCTCTGTCTCTCTGTGGCATTTTACGTCTCGAGAGACGATCTTTTCCCTTTGCAACTTCTTGTATTACGATAAATACGCCAAATAAAAATACACTTACGCTACTTGTGCCTCGCTTGTCAGTCACACTTCAGGATCGGCCCTTGCCCCCATTTTACTTTATTTCACTTAATGTGACCTGCCTTTTTTAATAGGATGACCTGCAGGTTTCAGGAGAATGCGTTTCTAAAGTGAAGAATGCAAAAACGCTTCACCCCAAATTTTCAGGTGCCCCTGGTTATCAGGAGGCCGCGGAAAATCTGTTATAAGCTATAAGATGGCTTAATTTAATAATGTACACCTAGCATTAGCGTGTGGCCTATGAAAGTGCGGGGCCCATTACGGTCGGATAGGTTGCAGTGGCTGGCCCAGCAAAATAGCGACGTATGCTACGCCGTGGGTCGACTAGTATATATATATATATATTCTGTGTGTGCGTTAATGTATAGGGTTAGGGTTTACTGGTCGTTAGGGTTAGGGTTTAGAAAAAAATCGCCCCCCCCCCCACTCCAAAGTTCTAGATCCGCTAGTGGTGTAAACATAGATCTCAATAATAGGTCTACAGACTGCAATTTTAGATTCCAACCATTAACTATACGTATTAAACCCTCGATGCCATTAGCAGAAACGGTTCATGGCCTTTAAATTACAAGCTTGATGACCTTTTGTTGGTCATGAACTTTACTTTTGAGCAATTTACATGGGTAACTAGTTAAATATTTATTTACATATTTTACATTGACATCCCACACACCTAACACACACACACGTGTATATATATATACTTTATATATGTATATACTTCTGGAATCTTATATATAACTATATAATAGATATATTAAGTTTTTGCTTTCTCTTTTTCCAAGCTGATGTAGTACTTTTACAAGAAGGCGATGTCATCTCTACCAGTTCTGCTATAACCATACAGAACAACGATCATTACCATTTCCATATAATTTTACTGCATGAATTTGACAAATGAACTTAAAACGTCCATGAAGACAGGTGATCACAGATCCACTTTGTACTTTACGATCCCTCTGATGTAATGAATTGACTTCTATTATATACGGCCCTCAAGCTTCTTGATATCCATAGAATCACCTCGTACCAGGACCTTTAAAATAGTCACGTGATAACAAAAAAAGGACCTTCCATACACAATTGTACATTCCCATACTTCCATTCATACTTACAGTCGATCATTAGCTTTTTCTAAGGGAAGCATTTCAGTTCATGACTTCAGTTCAACCTTTCTAGCCTAAAGCATTTCATGATTTCAGTTTAACCTTTCTTGCCTAAAGCATTTCATGATTTCAGTTTAACCTTTCTTGCCTAAAGCATTTCATGACTTCAGTTCAACCTTTCTAGCCTAAAGCATTTCATGATTTCAGTTTAACCTTTCTTGCCTAAAGCATTTCATGATTTCAGTTCAACCTTTCTTGCCTAAAGCATTTCATGATTTCTGTTCAACCTTTCTTGTCTAAAGCATTTCATGACTTCAGTTCAACCTTTCTAGCCTAAAGCATTTCACGATTTCAGTTTAACCTTTCTTGCCTAAAGCATTTCATGATTTCAGTTCAACCTTTCTTGCTTAAAGCATTTCATAATTTAAGTTCAACCTTTTTTTATCTAAAGCATTTCATGATTTCAGTTCAATCTTTCTTGCCTAAAGCATCTCATGATTTCAGTTCAACCTTTCTTGCCTAAAGCATTTCATGATTTCAGTATTCGATCCCCACACATTTTCCATGTCTAATACTTTAAAAAACTACACAACTTTGTTTTATTTTCTGATTGTAAAATCAGTTTATTAAAAAAATGTTTATTACCACCTTTATTTTTCATGCTATTTTATAAATAAAGATCATTCTCATTATTAACCCACAATATTTTCCAAATATTATTTGTTTCAATTATTTTAAAATCCTTTGAAAACCTATAAATGATTTTTAAATTTGATTAAATATCTAGTAAATAATTAGTAAACAAAACTAATAACACAATATAAAGAAATATCGTTTCATGTAGACAAATAATTTTTTTTATAAAACATAAAGTATTTAAAAATAATTAAATTGAATTTTCGTAAGTATAAAATGTATAAAAGTAAAAACAAAATATTTTTGAACACAATGGTTGATAGAAATAGATTATGGTTTATAGAAATAGATCACTATTTCATTGCAATAATAATAATAATAATTATAATAAGGCTAGTCTTCGAGTCGGAAGATCAGTAAGGAATGCAGTAGTTCCGTGGCTTCGCAGTCCCAACTGTGACCTACATATTTGACACATTAGGGCAAGCATAACCATTGTCCGCAGGGGGTCGATTTAGATTTACTTTTCTCCGTCAGCGTTTGTCCTCGGCAGCAGATCAGGTATATTAAGTTTGAAAGGATTTGAAAGAAGAAAGTATACAATTTGTTTTGAACTAGAAACATCTTTGAGAACATTGAATAGACACAAGACACAGTGGAATATAAAAAGAGGAACGAAGAGCCCAGGGTCGTATAAAACATAGATCTAAATCTAAGACATTAACGCATTTTCCAATCTGGTTGATTAAATAAAAGAACTTGTATAAAAGTATATGGTATTTGTATTTACAATATAAAGTGTTTGACTTACAGAATGTGTGGAAAATAAATGCAAAAATAAAACAAAGCACATTCACAGACTGATGAATAGGAAGACATCTCCAGTCAAATAGAATACAGTTTGACCCACCCCATAATGCCCACATTTGTTAGTGTAACTTATCGAAAATGGTACTAAATACTGGAATACCAGTTAAATGCTTACCATGCAATAAAGGCTTCAAAAATACAATCTATGCAATTAAACAAAACAAAATGTCTCTTATAAGTGATGAACAACATAAACCTACAGTGTAGAGAGGAAATGAACAACATACACCTACAGTGGAGAGAGGAAATGAACAACATAAACCTACAGTGTAGAGAGGAAATGAACAACATACACCTACAGTGTAGAGAGGAAATGAACAACATACACCTACAGTGTAGAGAGGAAATGAACAACATACACCTACAGTGGAGAGAAGAAATGAACAACATAAATCTACAGTGGAGAGAGGAAATGAACAACATAAACCTACAGTGGAGAGAAGAAATGAACAACATAAACCTACAGTGTAGAGAGGAAATGAACAACATACACCTACAGTGTAGAGAGGAAATGAACAACATAAACCTACAGTGTAGAGAAGAAATGAACAACATATGACTACAGTGGAGAGAGGAAATGAACAACATAAACCTACAGTGGAGAGAAGAAATGAACAACATAAATCTACAGTGGAGAGAGGAACTGAACAACATAAACCTACAGTGTAGAGAGGAAATGAACAACATACACCTACAGTGTAGAGAGGAAATGAACAACATAAACCTACAGTGTAGAGAGGAAATGAACATCATAAACCTACAGTGGAGAGAGGAAATAGGTATAATTGTCAAAAGTATTAAGTCATTTAAAAAAAAAAATTTAAATGTGAAAAAAAAACATTTTTTTCAGTGTTTAAGTTCCTAAATACATTTTCAATGATAATTTAAACCAAGTTGAATCAGAAGTGTAATTCAATTTGAAAAAGAATCATTTCAAAGCTTTCTTTCTAAACCAGTTTTAAATATCAGTTTGATTCAACCTTCTTGTGTACAAAACCTACAGTACTCTCTTTGTTGATGTTTTATCATCACAAGAATTAGGATTTCAAATGTTAAATGTCAAAGTTTGTTTTCTATTAGAGTAAGTCTTCTGTACATTACAGTGATTCAATAAAATACAACAAGACGTGGCAGGAATATTGATTCTAAGGAATGGTAACAAAAATAACAATAAACTTAAACTATATCAACAATTTAAAAAAATAGAGTCAGAAAACCTAGGGTCCAGGTAAATAATACTCATTAGCACCTGGTCTAATGAACACAGCAAGGGTGTTTATATACATATTTACATAATATTTATATTTTTCTGTTTCTTATAATGAGTCCTCTTTTTTGTAGTATAGAAACATTGGTTACTACCAATCAACACATTGGTCAATAAATGCATTGCTAACAATTGGTTTATAAATGTCCTTAACCAGTGAGAAGCTATAGATATACATAAACTGTTAGTTAACATAGACCAAGACACAAGAGTTGTCTAAATACATGGTTCAGTCAGCTCCTATTTTATGTACACAAAATTAATTACATTTACGAAAGACAAAGACATCATGCTACATTACAGCAGGCAAATATCTTAGTATAAGAGAAGCTGTAAACTAGCAACATGCACGTGTATTGAACATAAGTTTCATGATTATCAGCATGTTTTAAAAACGTGACATTGGTAGCTTGCTTATAATGTATTTTATATATCAAATAAAGGCAAGCTATACATTAGCGCAATATTACTTACATTTTAAGCAAATGTCAAAAAGGTTCCAGCAGATTGGTACATACCATATTGAAAAGTCAAGACCTGAACCACACATCGACTATATTGATTCAGGTGATAGTCGTATAAACCCACACGACAGTCATATCCGACATAAACTTGACTTATTGCCAATAAGGCATAGTCTACCATCACTATCATAACAGACCAGTGAAATCACAGATAGACATTATGAAGTTGTTTTTTTTAAATCTTAAAATTTAAAATTAAAAAAAACAGTTTCTATTATGCCATGAAGAGTCTTTTGTTTAGACTGGACCAGTGTTACGAAATGTAATTAAAAAAAACAACTTGTTATCATATCACAGTGGAATCTTTTATGTTGTCATTTCTGAAGAAAAAATGTTTCATTTAGAAATATAACTATTCCTTCCCTTGTACAAATCTTAGCCAACTCGTTAAGGGGTTCTAAACTAACTTGGAGATGATAGCTCAACAGATGAGTAACTAATACATCTAGACTTTATTCTTTTATGGATCTTCTAGTCCTTCTTTGAGCAGGACAACTTCTAAGTAAGAAGAGATGTGATTGTACTTGATCAGTTCTTGGCCTGTGGTTTTGATGTATACGTCATCGCTTCTCAAAAGCTGGAAGATGCCCCCTGGAGGAAGAGAATATAATCATGTATCAAACAGGTATGAAACATTGAAACACAATTTTCTATGCTATTAATAGATGGTCGCTACTCAAAACAATATCGGACAAAACAGTTCAAGTTTTTTTTCACAATTAAATGATTACACTGCAATGTGGTTTCTTGTATGCCTTGTCTTAAATGTTTTTGTTAACAGCCTGCTCTAGTTGATTGGACATTTTTAAGCCTAGATATATGTTTGAAATTATTTTGTAACAATACTCATAAGTATACAAACTATGGGGCATATTATTGTTTAGTTGTTTTTATTGTACTGATATACTTCTCAGTCAAAACATTGTTTGTATTAATATTTCATTTAAAACTTTTCCTAAAACAGGTTTCTAAAGTATAACAAATGATTCCTAAAATAAAAGTCATAATGGCAACACATAATGTTATATAAGGAGATGAGCTTTTGGCATGCATCAATGTAAGAAGTCAAGCAACACAAGTACTTACTGACGTAACTGATTCCTGAATGATTGCTACAATCATCACAACATTTCTGTTCACCTCGCAAGAGTTCTATTTTTTCATCTTTTTGCGTATTATGTCTGTCTCTAATACGATAGACCAGCACTTTGTGAACAAAATTCTAGAAGAAAAATTGAAAAGTTTCATTAAAGTAATGAGCATTGAAACCATTGTGAAACTGTACTGATGCGCTTAAGTTTTTATTTATTTTTTTCAGTTTAGATTTATACTTTTTTTTCTGAATTTACAGTCAAACATAAATGTAGGGTTAGAGTGTGCAGGATGCAGGCAATCTATGTCATTTGGGGATTTGCAGCACAGCTCATTTATCTAGAATAGAGTCTAAACTGTTTGCTATTATATGCATCTTATTTATGCAATTGTAATTTTTTTTCGTAATTTTAAAAATTGTATGTTTGGTCTTTTCAAATGAAGTGCGCCAATGTGAAGGAAGAAACTCCCATGACAAGACTAGTTTCCAGTTGGACAAGTTACTTAACAAATTGTGCTATTCGTCAGTGTTTTACACTAGAGGCTTGTTCCATTAATGTTATTTTATTAATGACTAGATTTGAAGTGAATTGATTGCAATAAGAGTTACTTACATGCTGTTGACTTGAGGGACAAATCGACGAACAGTTTGGATTGTAGGCGAGTCTGGATTGAACCATATACGTCCCATCTATTTTGATATCCAGAGAACTGTTATTGTGGACTATGATGCCTTTCCTGTTCTGTCTTTGTCTAGTGTCCAGAGAGTCATTCAAAAGTATACCACGCTCGTCTGATAGATCTGCACCTACAAGAGACAAGAATATCTCTTCATACACATGTATCATCTAATTTAGCACACATACACAAGTTTAAGAATGCAGAATTAATATATAATAATATATATAATTAGTCAACAATTGGCCCAATGGTTGTAAAAAAGAAAAGGACTGGCCGAGACAATTTTGAAATCAAGCGGCGATACTCTAAACTCTTAATCATTTATTGAAATAGAATCATGACTTAGATAAAGTTTTAAGATGAAAATGGGACATAGGGCATGCCGCCCGGACACTTTATTGTGGGACAGGCGATCAAAAAAGGGGACGACTGGTCACCTTAATGTAACGTTAAGCTATTTAAGTTATTATTATTAGTTAAGTTATTAGAGTTCAGTTACTTTTTAGAGTTCAACAAATGCTAAAAAATTATGCCAGAGTATAATTTTTTTGAAACAAGTTCAACCTAAATTATCTGTGATTCATATTGAATAAAATTATCATAACCCGTCCAGCACAATGATCAATGGTCATTTACTTTAACAAACGTCAGTGCAGAAAAACAACATCCAATCTCAATTTTTTTAACTGAGAAGCCAGACAAGTCTCTCTCAGGTAACGAAATCTTTTGAGCTATTAATTATAGGAGATACTAAATAACATTTAAGCTTCGAAGACTGTTGGATAAACTGCAAATGAAGTCCTGCTGTAAACACTTATACAGATCTCTGCGAATAATTAGCCAGATGTTAATTATTAAACATAAACTTGATTTTAGTCTTTTTTTCTCTTAAGTCTAGAATTGAAATAACAACAAATCTATTTATTGTGAGTCGGTCAAAACCTACTTCCTAATATCATCAACTTACATTGTTTTAAATCGTCAGGGATTTGTATGCCAACACGAGCACACGCTGAGCCAAACACACACACATCGTTAGCACTTTGTCGGCTCGAATCAAAGTTAGCTACATTAGAGAGAGAGAGAGAGAGAGAGAGAGATATAATAGATGATATAACAAATAATCTCATACAAATCACAAGTATAAAGTAGATTTTTAAAAGTGTCACTGTTTTTGCACGGGTAAACAAAAGTAATATCCTGAATGGCTGGAGGTCTATGAAACACATGTAGTGTCCCCTGACTGGCTGGAGGTCTATGAAGCAAATGTAGTGTCCCCTGACTGGCTGGAGGTCTATGAAACAAATGTAGTGTCCCCTGACTATCTTAAACTCTGAAGGAACATCCGAGACATGTAATACATTTTACAAACAAACATTTTACAAGAAGTCATGGAAAGGGAACAATCAATCTACTATGTATGTTCACCCGTCACTAAATAGCAGGGCCGGATTTAACCATTGTAGGGCCCTATGCGAAACGGATTTCGCGAGGCCAAGTTTGGGTAAGGAAGCGGATAATAAGTGGATAATAAGAGGTATTAGAGAATAAATTCGTCTATGCATTTTATTCATTCTTTACTACGTACAAGATTACTTTACGAGCCTTGCGTGTAGCAAAGTCATACAGCATGTCATAATAATTCTGTTTCCTACATAGATCACG